GGAGCACTGCTTTGGTCTCCTGAAGGGCAGGTGGCCCTGTCTTGCTCGGGGAGAACAGCTGTACACACCCGACAAGGTGTGTGACATCATTTTGGCTTGTACGGTTTTGCATAATGTGGCGTTGGTGAATGGCGTGCCATTGGATGTGCCAGCTCAAAGAGAGGACCCAATGCCCAGGGAACTGTGGCAAGGAGATGCTCCACCGGGCGCTGTACGGAGAAGACGGGACCTGTTCACCACATTCTAAAATGTTGGTAGGCCTTTAAGTCGAGAAAGTGCTGTCTATTTAACTGATTTTACTGCTTAAACTACACAAATTAAACTAAATGCTTGAAATTAAAAGAAATAAAACGAAATGCAGACAATAGAAAAGTTTATACTCAAATTTTATTTTTTCAAATTGTCTTTTATTTTCTGTAAAGTTCTGTTGATTGCCTCAAGTGAGGTCACAACTGCCGCCAATAAATGGTAAATCTCCGTCTGTCTTTCTAGGACCTTAGCAGTGATGATGGCCCTTGCAGTACGGGAAGCTGGTGCTCGCTCGCCCTCAGTGGACAGCTGTCTCCGTTTGGGGTCTGGATCAGTGGGACGGTTGTCACCGCCCGCAGAGACGTCACCGCCATGCTGCTGGTGCCTGGCTCTGAAATCATAATTTAAGACAATAAAAAAAATGTAAAAATTTTTACAATGCAAGCAAATTAGGGCAGATAGTTACCATTCTCTGGCTCCACCACTGGCTATGCCTTAATGCTCTCTGATCCCATCAGTGCGATGATTTTGTCCTCGGTGGCGGTCAGGATCAGGCTGGGATCTGGTCCTCCACCTCCAGTCTGCATGCTGCTACGTCTCAGGGCAGCAGCACGACTTTTGGTGGCCAGCTTCAGGGCCAAACCATTTTTCCTCACCTATATATCGTCAAGAAAGCGTCATTTGTATTTGTTTAGCCCATTCACAACCAAGGTCACTCTACAATGGCACAAAATTAATTAACACTTAATGCTGAAACTGTCAAATAGTAACTGCTACTGGCACACAAAATGTTGTTTATCATTACACTTACCTCAGCCAGTGTCCTCTCATCAGATGCGACGCTGTTCACTGCCGCTGTGATTATTTTCCAAACAGCATTGGAAAGCTCCCCCTAACTGCATAGGCTTCCCTCAATGCCCTGTTTCCTCCCAGCAGCTTTGTTTATTTATTTATTTATTCCAGCCTAGGCATTTTCTCAATTTGACAATATCATGTCACATTGAAACATTTCTTATCCATTGGTTGGAAGGGAGCAGGGAGAAGAAATAAGCTGCACATTTTCAGTGGGTTCCAGCAGGAAATTGGGCAGGATGCATGCTGCCACCACAGGCATGTCCAGGTTTTTGGGGTGCAGGTTTATCCTTCTCTGGAATATCCTCCAACATGACACCAAAATGCTGGCATTTTCAACCATCATCCTCATTCTGGACAGTCCTCAATGAAAATTCTCTTTTTGTGGATTAGTCTCTGTCCTGGGTAGGGTCTCATCAGGTAGGGCTTCAAAGGAAATGACGCATCTACCACCATGACATGTGGTACATCCCTAATGTGAGCAGCACCAGGCAGAGAGGTTTGCACCAGGCAGAGAGTGTTTTCCTTCATCTCTTTCCCCAAATCTGAGCCTGCATACACCCCACCATCTGACGTCCTCCTAAAGTCTCCCACCTGAATGTACAAAAACGGTAGTCAGCATCCACGAGTGCCAAAAGCACAATGGAGAAAGTCTTTCTATAGTTAAAGTACTGACTACTGGACCAAGGTGGAGCTTGAATGACAACATGTTTGCCATCAAGTGTTCTTGGACAATTGGGGAAGTTCCACTTTTCCCAGACTGTGCCACCTCTTTCCATATCTCTGTGGTCAGTTGTGGTAGAAACGTCTTCATCATCACCTTTTCAATGGCAGCATACACCATGTAAACAGAGTTCTGTGCTGTTGTGCAAGCCAAGGCGGTAGTTGAAGGCTAGGCTGATAAGTGAGTCCCCCGAAGCCAAGTACCAGTGAGGTGAACAAAGAAGATGCTATTGGATGAATTTGTTTATCTGCATGTGTTTGTTTTGTAGTTCGAAAAGCAACTTGAGCACGGTTTTGGCAGAGGAGAAGAGGTCATCCACACCTCTGTCTGCATGTAGGTCACCAGCAGTAAGTGGAGCCCTAGCACAGACTGTCTCTGCAGCACGGTCTGTTTTAGGGCCCACAACATCTGCAATTGACAGACCACACAGGTCCCGGAGCCCAAGAGAGAGGGGGTCTCACCCGGACCCAAGGAGGGGCCACAGACCACAGCAAACTTCTAATGTGGAAGACCAACTTCTCTCAATTTTACAGCAGCCTATTCTGAAACCAGACAGTGAACTTGAGTGCTACCTCCTGAGACCCTGTGTACTCGTATGTGGACATTACATTTTTGCCTTTCTGCACCATAATACTTAATTTTTTAGAACTTTGACCTGTATGCCTCATTTAGGGACACTGCCTTCACTATCAAGTGGTCACATGACAGCATTACACCCATTTTAGTGACAAGATGGCGGGAATATCAGTGAAAGACTTCTACAGCCACTCCAGACAGAAAAAAAGAGCTTGGTAAAAACTTCAACCTTGAAATAGACCGCAAGCCAGATAACTGCTTAAAATGTTAGCCATCTGTCTTTGGTTGTTATACTCTCAGATGGTAGGTATTGTGAGTGCAAGGAAAAATCTCAAACAAGCTATGAATTCTCTAAAATGAGGGGAACATTTATTAGGCCACATCAAAATAAGACGAAAAATGTCAAATCAATTAAATACTTCGCAAAAATATCCCCTGCAGAGGAAGAAAAAATGAAACATTAGTCCAACATAAGTCTAACAAGCTTGTTCTCCTCACAGCCTCACATCTATTGTGCCACACCTCACCTAGACTGCTGATTTCACTCGGCTCATATACAGTGCATCCGCAAAGTATTCATACCACTTCACTTTTTCCACATTTTGTTATGTTACAGCCTTATTCCAAAATGGATTAAATTCATTTTTTTCCCTCAAAGATTCCACACAAAATACCCCAAAATGACAAAGCGAAAAACTTTTTTTTTTAACATTTTGCAAATTTATTAAAAATAAGACACTCAAATGTTGCATATACATAAGAATTCACACCCTTTGCTATAAAACTCAAAATTGAGCTCAGGTGCACCCTGTTTCCACTGATCAGCCTTGAAATGTTCCTCCAACTTGATTGCAGTCCACCTATGGCAAATTCAGCTGATTGGACATGATTTGGGAAGCCACACCTGTCTATATAAGATCCCACAGCTGACAGAGCACGTCAGAGCACAATCCAAGCTATGAAGTTGAAAGAATTGTCTGTAGACCTCTGAAACAGGGTTGTATCAGCGCACAGATCTGGGGAAGGTTACAGAAAAATATCTGCTGCATTGAAGATCTCAAAAAGCACAGTGGGCTCCATCATTAAGAAATGGAAGACGTGTGGTACCACCAGGACTCTTTCGAGAGCTGGCCGCTCAGTCAAAATGAGCAAGCCTTGGTAGGGCCTTGGTCAGGGAGGTGACCAAGAACCTGATGGTCACTCTGACAGAGCTCCAGCGTTCCTCTGAGGAGATGGGAGAACCCTGCAGAAGGACCAACATCTCTGTAGCACTCCACCAGTCAGGTATTTATAGTAGAGTGGCCAGACAGAAGCCACTCCTCAGTAAAAAGCACATGACAGCCCCGCTTGGACTTTGCTAGGAGGCAACTGAAGGACTCACAGACCAGGAGAAACAAAATTCTCTGGTCTGATGAAACGAAGATCAAACTCTTTGGCCTGAATGCCAAGCGTCAGGTCTGGAGGAAACCAGGCACCACTCACCACCTCACTAATATCATCCCTACAGTGAAGCATGGTGGTGGCAGCATCATGCTGTGGGGATGTTTTTCAGCGGCAGGAACTGGGAGACTTGTCAGGATAGAGGTAAAAATGAATGTAGCTAAGTACATCGAAATCCTTGATGAAAACCTGCTCCAGAGCACTCGAGACCTTCGACTGGGGCGACGCTTCATCTTCCAGCATGACAATGACCCTAAGCACACGGCCAAGAAGACAAAGGAGTGGCTTCAGGACAAGTCTCTGAATGTCCTTGAGTGGCCCAGCCAGAGCCCAGACTTGAACCCGATTGAACATCTTTGGAAAGACCTGAAAGTAGCTGTGCACCGACGCTGCCCATCCAACCTCACTGAGCTTGAGAGGATGTGCAAGGAAGAATGGGGAAAAACTCCCCAAATCCAGGTGTGCCAAGCTTGTTGCATCATACACAAGACTGGAGGTTGTAATCGCTGCCAAAGGTGCTTCGACCAAGTATTGAGTAAAGGGTGTGAATACTTGTGTATATGCAACATTTGAGTGTCTTATTTTTAATAAATTTGCAAAATGTTCTAAAAAAAGTTTTTCACTTTGTCATTATGGGGTATTTTGTGTAGAATGTTTGACGGAAAAGGGAATTTAATCCATTTTGGAATAAGGCTGTAACATGTGGTATGAAAATAAGGCTATAACATGTGGTATGAATACTTTCCGGATGCACTGTACTCTACTACCTGCAGCTTCAATCACAGCCTCACAGAATTCAGGTGTGGCCACTGTCACCTGCAGACAATCCAAGTGAGAGAAGCTGCAGCAATAACAAAAGAGAAAACAGATCTGAAAACAGAATTCCCCCGGAGGATTAAAAAAAAAAAAAAACACCCATGTGTGTTCAGAGCCAAAAACCTCAAATATACTTTTAAAGAGAGATGTAAACATTATCATATGCATTTAACATATGCTTAGTACTGTCTGGGTGCTAAAGGAATGTGCACCTTCCTTTAGCCTTAACAATAATTGGTTAGGACTCTATGGCCTCATAACACTGGTTTGAATTTTGATTTGAATTAGAGGGGATTTTATCATAACAGGGAAACTTTCATTGTCAAAAGCAGAGCAATTGCTCATGGCAAATGTAGACAGTTCTGAGGTCATAAATATATCAGATGGTGAAGATGGTGATCCAGCTGTGGATGCAGACATTCCAGATGATTTTGACCATATGCCTGTGGAACAACAACCTGATGATTTTGAAGATGATTCAGATGAAGATTATCCTCCACCTGATGCAGCAGGAGCCGACCACCCTGTCACAGTGACAGTGAGAATACGCCACAACATCCATGAGTGCATAAACACAAGCTTAAAAAACAGCGTTGTAAGAATGATGGTGCGCCAGAACCCAATTATCATGTTTTTACTTTAGAGCACTTTAGTTGGTCCCAGATAATGAGTGCATGACAAATATGATGTGTTGTGTTTTTATTGGTAGAACTGGGTGAAGATAAGCTAGACTGTGGAGAGCCCAGGGCAAAGCCCAGAAAAGCTGGACATGAAGAGCGCTGAAAATCTGCTCCATTTACCCGATACTTAGTCCAGTTTCAGGGTGCAGATGATGAACTAAAAGATGAGCCAGCAGATTGGCAGCCACTGAATTATGTGGAGCAGAGCTGATGAGACTCCTGCCTAATTGCACAAATGCCATGTCACTGGCTAACAGTGGGAGATCTCTCAATACTTTGGTTGATGAGATGTTCAACTTTTTTTGGAGCTGCAATCTTGATGTCTTGTGTGCATTACCCTCAAACGCGGATGTTTTGGTCCAATGCCCTGCGAATCCCTGCCATTAGTGACACAATGACATGTGATCATTTTTTTCAAACTGAGGAGCCATCTGAAAGTAGTCATTGATTATGACGTTCCTGAAGAGAAGATGAAAACTGACAAATTTTGGAAGGTGAGACCTTTTATGAATCGCATACTCAATGGCTGCTGCCTTCAAGCTGCCATTGAGTATGTCTCAATCGATGAACAGATGATCCCGTTAACTGGAGCCTGTCAATTCCGACAGTATGTGCCACTAAAGCCCAATCCAGTGAGCATTAAGATCTTTGTGCTGGCATCAGCAGATGTAATCGTGCTGGACTTTGAAACCTATCAAGGTGCAAAGACACTGGGTCTGCAGGTTCCAGACTCAGAAGGATTGGGTTTAGTAGCCTTGGTCATCAAACGTCTGTCTGAAACCCTGCATGCTGGAACAAAGTGTGTTGTGATTGGTTCTTTACAACCATACAAGCTGTGGATCACATGCTGAAATAAGGTATACCTTACTGGTACAGTGATAAAGAACTGGGTCCCCAAAGCAATGGAAAAGCTACCAAGTGACCCAACCCTGAAACAACAAGGAAGAGGTGCCACAGCCACAGTCACCAGGGCAGACTATGTGTAGTCTGGTGATATCATAACAAGCCAGTTGCGATGCTCTCTGTCACTCATGCTAAACAACCTGAAGACACCTGCCAGATGGTCCAAAAAAAGACAAAAAACTGTCACACGCCCAAGCGTTGTGTGGGAGTATAACACCAAGATGAGTGGGGTTGACTTGTCAGACAGGGTGATAAGCTAGTGCAGAAAGAGTGTCTGAACCACAAAGTGGACCATTCGCATGCTGATGCACTTCATTGATCTTGCTCTTGTAAACAGCTTGCTGCTGTATCACCGGGATAACCAGGAAAGTGGTACCCCAAGGAAGGCTATCATGAAGTTTCTTGAGTTATGCATGCTAGTGGCTCAGGTATTCCTCAACAAGCGTGACCCTCTAGACAAAGATGCTCATGTCACAGATGCAGAGGAAGAGAATGTGTACCTTCCACAACCAGGCAAAAGATCTTGGGTCACTCCAATCCCACGTCTCAGTCCACACATGTTGTGCTGCTCATCTCCTGGGGATAGTTGTCTTGGAAAAACCTGCTTTGTAGCATTTCATAAAGGCTAGTAGGCCTGTTAGAGTCAGGCAGACAGACTGTCTGGACAGGAGCTTGTTAGAGGAGGCTAATTAGAGAACACTAAAGACATAGGGCTGTTCAGGAAAAGTAACTGAGATAACCTTGTATCATTTATTATTTCTATTGTTTCTATATGGATGTGTTCCAGCTTCAAAGTGAATGATGAGTAAATTTGTAACTGTTTTGCAGTATTATACATGGGCAAACAGGTGTTGAGGACTGTTCCTAAAATAAAATACAGTGGGTAATTTTTGGTATTATTTACACTTCTATTGTTTTGTATAGCCACATTTACATCTTGAAATTAACAGTTCAGTTATTTGCACTTCTTTTTTTTATAGCCATGTTTAGGGCTTCAACAAAAGTTTTTTTTGTACTTTTGTTCATGTAGTGCCAGGCTTAGGGCTTGAAAAAAAACAAATGTTTGCACTGTTTTATACCATTATGTTTACAGTTTGAAATAAATGGGTTTATACTTGATACTGACCAAAAGTTTCATTTTGTCTCCTCTTATGGGGACATTGAGTTTTGAGAAAAGTACTTAACATAGAAAGGTGAAATTTTGTTTTTAGAGTAATTGGGGCCTTCTGATCCTAAATAGCAATCAGACCTGATTGACATTTGGGATCTGCTATCCTGTACAAAGACAAAGGTTAGTTTTTAAATAGCTGGGAGAAATAAAAAATGCACACCAAACAGAAGTTTGGGTCTCAGGAGGTCATTTTGCAAGGAGCCTCATCCCACAGTTGCGTTATATGGACCATTACAGGAGGGCGGCAGGCAAAAATTGGGGTTCCGAATTTACTGGATAACATCCCCAACCAGTAAACCCTATAAGGCAGTTCACACGTATGATGGCCTCAGATGACACTCAGTGGCGTGAGTGCACCACCCCACACACAGATCTCTAGGTTGTTCTTCTAATTTATAAATAGTTGTTTTGCTGTGATTCAGTACTTAAATTTTTTATGCAGATTTTTGTTTTCTCCAGCTGCTTTGACATTACATCTTTAAATTGTTTTCCTGTGAAAGCGTTGTGTCAAATTTTGAAAAGTAAAAGGTCAAAAATGTTGTGATCAGTGATTTCTTTGTGCACATAATGTCAAACCCACCACAGTCCAACGGCTAGTCCCTACTCTGCTTCAATGGCAGCTCTGTAGTTAGTGTTCTGTTTTGTGAGTTCTGGGCCAATGATTGAGGGAAGGTGATTAATCTGCTCTGCACTCATTCTGAAGTACTGATGATACCGTTTACTGTCCAGGCGCAGTTAAGCCACAAGATTATGAAAATGTCCTTGTTGATGCCTGTGCTGGTTCAATGGATGGACCCAGTGCCTGCCTTTTCTCCTTCTTTCCCTCCTCCACAGTCTTGCAAGCAGGATTCACTTAGCAGCTGCTCTCATCCCAGCAGCAGGCACTGATATGCACAGAAAAATATATTTCATGAGTGTTGTTACAAGTTTAATAACAGAATGCTCTTGATGCTACAGTAAATGTAGTCACTCTGAAGTAAAATGTTATCTAAAGCTATTTTGTTTTATATATATATTTCCATTTCCAACTAGAACAACATTAGTTAAATTTTTCAACATGGCCTTGTACTTTCCAAAGGCATCAAAAAGACATACTCATAAAATGTTTAGTTTATCATCTATTTCGTAGATAAAGATAAATATTGCACTTACCCATGCTTAATTCCTAATCTCCACAAAAGTGTCTGATCTAGTGGTCCGGACAGAGTGGGTTTCCTCCTCTGGAAGGACACAATCTACCACTTATATGATTATGTGGCTGTCTTTATAGAGACAACTCGTTATCGCTCAATTGCATGTGAATTTGCAGGTTCTTGTAAGTCCTCATGATTCCTGCTATTTGAAATTCGCCATTAAATTCGCCTTACAAAGGCATCTGGTAGGAATTGGCGGATGGCGAAAGTCACCGTCGTTCCGCAGCAGTGCAGTTGGAAATTTGGAGTAAGAGTTTCAGATAGTTTGAAATGTACAGGGTAGTTGTGTTTGTGGAAGACCCTTATTAGTTTATTCTGGATTCACCAGTTAGATAATGAAAAACAGTGCCTTGTTGTTTGTTGTGTTCCCCTTCTCTGTTGGTAAACCATTTCTCAGAGATCTTGCTAAGGGTCCATTTTGGGTATCCACATATCTTTAGTGCTTACTGCAGATGTTACAGTTCCCCTCTCATCCCCTCTGTTTTTCTTCTGAGCCCTTTGTTGTAGGATCCTGATGACACAAGTTTATGCTTTAGTGGATGGTGGGATTCCCAAAGTAAGTATTGATCTGTTTATATACCGTACTTTCCATCTAGACCGTTACGCTCACAGTCTGCAGGTCTGCTCGTTGTACCAAATGTCTCTAAAAGTAGTATTGGAGGAAGAGCTTTCAGCTACCAGGCACCTCTTCTCTGGAATCATTTACCGCTCGAGGTTCGGCGGGCAGACACACTCTCAACTTTCAAGAGTAGACTTAAAACGTTCCTCTTTGTTCCTTGTTGATTATCACTCATATCCTAACCCTGTAAACTGAACTTCTTTTTGTTTCACCGTTGTTGCTGTTGTTGTTGTTGCTGTTGTTCCTGCTGCCTCCTGTCTCTCTCTCACCCTCGTTCCCTACTCTCTCTCCCTCCCCCTCCCTCTCCGTACTCATTCTCTCTCGCCTTTCCCCTATCTTGTTGTCTCTCTCCCTCCCCCTGTCCTCTCCCCCCTCCCCTCTTCTCTCTACATTCCTCCCAAACCCAGCAGCGGCATGGTGGCTGTCTAGCATGAGGCTGGTCCTGCCCAAGGTTTTCTGCCTGTTAAAAGGAAGTTTTTCCTTGCCACTGTAACTCATGTTAGTTGAGATGGGCCAAAACCCATCTTAGGTTGGTTCTTGATCATCAAACAATGAGCGTGGTCCAGACCTGCTCTTGTTCCTTGAAAAGCGTCTTGAGATGACGACTGTTGTGAATTGGCGCTATATAAATAAAATTTGATTTGATTTTGATTTGATTTGATCTGTTTATGCGGGTTTCCTGTAAGACCTCCACATTGAGGTTTCGGTTCTCAAATCCCCCCAAAAAACAGACTGTTTTCTTTTATGTTCTTTCTGGTCAGCTTGATGTAGTTTTTAATGGTGTTCAGGTGTGTGGTGAAGGCCCTGGTGGAATCTTGACCCTGGTGTTTTCAACTTACCCAGGATAAACCCCAGCCATGGGCATTGAATTGTTGACAAGGTTGTGTACCTCTGCTTTTAGGAAAATGCCAAAGATGTGTCCACCAGGAAGCTGCTACTGGTGATTTGAAATTAAAAAGAGAAAGTGGATTCTGATTACCAGTGATCACTGTAGACTCAAGATTGGTGGAAGGTATCTAAGAGTGCAGGTAAACTGTCCTTGGATTTCTTTTGTCCATACCCCCCTCTCCTTGACACAAAAACACTTGGACAGTCTCCTGCAAAGGCGGGTGAGTGCATTTTCTGCTGTGAGGGGGGCATCAGGAAAGGGGCACAGAAGTAAAACCCCAAAGGAAAGTAAATACAGACAGCGCCCATGTTAATCTGTAGGCTACTCAATGATTGTGGAATGGTAGTTTTATGATGGATGGAGCAAATATATTGTTTACTTCTAATATCAAGGTCAAGAATTGTAAAGGTAAACATTTGCACAGAGTTCAGCTGAACTGCTGGACACGCTGTAAGACCACAAGTCCACTTCAGCTCCAACTTTTGACACAAAATTACTTATATGTATTTTGCCACACAAAAATCTGGACCACTTGTTAAGAGGAGTAAAAAACATGTTATGTAGTGTAGAAGTGAGGACATTGTCAGTCATCATCTTTGCCCAACAGATCCAGCAGAACTACTGAGCTCGGCTTCATTAATGGAGCCCAGCAGTCTCACTCTAAAGACATCTGTGCAGTACAAGCAATGTAATTGTACACAATGATTTGAGCTTAGTGTTCAAAGTGAATCAGTCATAGTTTTTGAATTTCTCCTGAAGAAAAGTGCTTTCTGATGGAGTATATATCTGACAACAACTGTTGGTCATGTCTTCATCCTCCTCTAGGTTTGCTGACAATGCACAAAACTTTGCTTCACTGTTGAGTAGCGGATCTAGTTTCAGACAGCATGCAGCAGAAAATTCCAGTCTCTCTCTTCATAGGATTTGTTGACATGGGGGAAGAGATTGAAGAAACACCAGCCTTGTGCTTGAACTCCACTAAGGGATAAGATCTCATGTGGTGCTGACACAGCGTCTGAAAATATTCCAAATGATCATTTAAAAGTTTCTCAGGAGCTTTGAGGAAATGTAGCAGA